TGTGTGTGTGTGTGTGTGTGTGTGTGTGTGCGCGTGTGTGTGTGTGCGTGTGTGTGTGTGTGTGTGTGTGTGTGTGTGTGTTTGCGTGAGTATAACATAATTGATCTGCAAGTGTCGTAAAACTGTTATTTAAGGTAGAGAAACAGATCAGGGAATCGTCGGGATAAATCTTTCTCTGATATGGGAAACTTTTCACAAAATCAATTTTTTTCTTACCGCGCATTTTTATTATTTGTAATCATTTTTATTGGTCTCAAACGTTTTTCTGAAAATCACGAGCAAAGAATTTCAGAATTATCATTCCATAATATTTTGGTTTAAAAATCTCACAATATAAGTTTGGTTTCAATACTGCCATTGTTCCCCAAATATCTCTGTACAAAGTTTCTTGATTACGGCACTTTTGTATCATCAAGAAAGTGTTTGAAGGGTTCCAGGGCAAATTGCATTATGTCCATTAACTACAAAACTGAGGAAAACAATTAAGAAAAAAATACTGTTGCCTAAAAATAAAAAAGTGAACTAAAAACAATTTTATCACTATATAATAATAATTTGTTCATGGAAATGTCACGTTGATTTTATATTGTATGATATCATGTGCTTATTATTACTCGATTGTCAATATTCATTCCAAAAATTTACAAGACAAATCGAGACCTTTTGTCCTGTTGATATGTTGAGGTATCTCTGTTGTTGTTTCTGTGAACTCCTGGACAGTGCCTAAAACTAAAACCGAAATAAAATGTACATACTTTATTCATATACATTGTAAACTCCCAACGTCAAGATTCGTGTAATTGTACCATGTACATGTACCTGTACCCATAAGTCCGAAAATCGCCTCCAAAGGAATTGGATGAGGTTTTCAGCACAGGCAGGGGAGACAACAGTGGGGTTGATGTTGGGTTTTTTTTTTTTACTTCTTTCTGGGGTTAAGCGAAGGATCAGGATAATAAAATTATTGTCAGATTCGTTTCAAGTATGAGAACAAGAACGTGAGTAAAAAAATATCTTGATATTGCAGCACGAAGAGAAGAGACACAAAAAGTGATTTAATTTAGTATGTTATAATACGTAATAATCAGTAGTTTTTAGTAAAACTACTTTTAGCTTTTATCGCCTGTTCTACCCCCCACCCCCAACCCCCTTCCCCCAAAAAGAGGAGAAAGAATCATCATTCTGTGAAAAGCTGAAACCAGGTAAAAAATAGTAGTAGAATGATATGTTGGCGAGTTTGTGTTTACTCGTTTGTTTGGGTTTTGTTTAGGATTTTTTTTTGTTTTTTTTTTGGGGGGGGGGGGGTAATTTTTTACGGAGTGGAAATTGACTTTTGCGTTTATGTCTCAGTTTCAATGCACTTGCTTTCTCTGACCGAAGTGAAAAAGCCAGTTTACATTCTTGCATGTAGACGGGCAGGGATTGGATTGTAGAGAGGGTAGCTTATTTTTTTCCTTCATGGTTTAAGTTCTTATTTGATTATCAAATGTTTCTTTTATAATATATTTAGATCTACATAATAGCGTATACTTTGTATACATATAACTAAAGTGTGTTCTAAAATAACATTTTCTTGTGTTTTGTTACAAATCAATGTATTAGTTGTATACCATTCCATTGGGTTGTGGTGCATTACTTTATTTGACCGTGCTTAAGGTCATAACAGAAGAGTTGGGTTGTGATTGCAAATTGTAATGATCATCGCAAATCTTACTAGTACACTGCAACTGCAAGGCGAGACGAGATCGGTTATTTTAGTTCTAATTTTCAAAATTGTTTCAGAAAGTGAGAATAAATGTAACGTGCAGGCTGGATTCGAATGTGTACTCAGATCTATATGTATTTGTGAAACGGTTGGATGAGGCTGGATGAATGGATGGGCGAATGAATAAAGAGATGAACAAAGTATACAAATAATATATTATATAAGAATTATTTTGTGTGATTTTTACACGTTTGTGATATA